CACAAACCTTGCCTGGGCTGCTCTGTAACTTTGCTCATTAAAACATCTTCTTCAACACAAAATCTTCTAAACACCTGCTACTCCTGCAGCAGGGTCAATGACTGTGTCAGCCCCAGAGAGGTAACTAAACGCTTTTGCCTTCTTCTCTGAATCACCACTAGGGCAAGCGAGGTCAAACAATTCAGAGCACAGAGCTTAATGGGGGGGGGGGCAGAGAGGGAGGGAGTTCAGTTAAGTGACAGTGCGGCACATTTGACACAATTGATGGTAAAGAAGAAATTGGTGCAGAAAGGGAAGACGAGCTCTTTGCCAATGACCAGAAACAACACTGGATTCCAGAATAGAGTCCATAAACACCGAACCACCATGCTACTCCCAGACAGCAGGCATCCTAGAGAAAGCAAGGAGGGGTGGAGGAAGGGATGGGGAAGAGAGAAAGAAAAGACAGGAGAAGAGGAGGGAAGGGCAGCTTTACATTCCACTCGGGTCTCCAGGGGCAGAGCAGCAGATGTGCAAGCTCCACAGAATGACATTTCAATCTGAGCGCACCCCGGTGGTTTCCTGTCATTTTGTTTCTGCTTTCAGCCTATAAACAAGAGAGGGGAAAAATGTTGTGCTGTGTTTCCTGAGAGATGCAGCCCAGAGGGAGGGGGCAAACTTAAGATTCTGCCCATGCCTGGGCTACTTCAGCACCCAATGTAAGTTAGAGCAGCCACTGGATCTGCTGTAATTAACAGCTGCCTCCCCAGAGCCATCTGTCAAATCCACAATAGTGCCTCCCACCTACAATGCCAGTCTCTGCAGGCCTGAAAAAGTTGTTTAAAAGAGACTGTTGAAGCTGTTCCATGTTGTGTAAATAACACTGGTCTACAATTTTTGAGAAGTCTGCTTCAGAGATAAAATGTGCTATTTATTATGTATTTTGATGTGCTGAATTCAAATATGACAAAACAACTGATTGGCTACTGTTTCTACGATATTTAAGTTTTTACATTTTATGTCTATGTATATTGTGTAGATAGTAGAGTTTTAATCATAAATTGTAAACCTAGGTCTTTTCATGTGTTTATGGTTGCTTTACATGATAATATTTCACCTGTCCTATTTATGTAACACTTTAAAAATCAGCAAAAGGGTTATATAAATAAAATGTATTATGAAACAAAAGGCAAAAAACTATTCTGTACATAGTTTAGTCCTATTCAGTGTCTACTCGGCGCTTCTTGGCTTGTCTCTTGTATTCATTAAATGGAGCATCTCTTGTCACTGTCCAGCAATAGTCTGCAAGCATTGATGGGCTCCATTTGCCCTGATAGCGTTTCTCCATTGTTGCAATGTCCTGGTGAAATTGTTCGCCGTGCTCGTCGCTCACTGCTCTGCAGTTCGGTGGAAAAAAATCTAGATGAGAGTGCAAAAAATGTATCTTTAGTGACATGTTGCAACCAAGGCTTTTGTATGCCTTGAGGAGGTTTTCCACCAACAACCTGTAGTTGTCTGCCTTGTTGTTTCCGAGAAAATTTATTGCCACTAACTGGAAGGCTTTCCATGCCGTCTTTTCCTTGCCACGCAGGGCATGGTCAAATGCATCATCTCGAAGAAGTTCACGAATCTGAGGACCAACAAAGACACCTTCCTTTATCTTAGCTTCACTTAACCTTGGAAATTTTCCACGGAGGTACTTGAAAGCTGCTTGTGTTTTGTCAATGGCCTTGATAAAGTTCTTCATCAGACCCAGCTTGATGTGTAAGGGTGGTAACAAAATCTTCCTTGATTCAACAAGTGGTGGATGCTGAACACTTTTCCTCCCAGGCTCCAATGACTGTCGGAGTGGCCAATCTTTCTTGATGTAGTGGGAATCTGTTGCACGACTATCCCATTTGCAGAGAAAACAGCAGTACTTTGTGTATCCAGTCTGCAGACCAAGCAAGAGAGCAACAACCTTCAATTCGCCACAAAGCTGCCACTGATATTGGTCATAGTTTATGCACCTCAAAAGTTGTTTCATGTTGTCATAGGTTTCCTTCATATGGACTGCATGACCAACTGGAATTGATGGCAAAACATTGCACTTATGCAGTAAAACAGCTTTAAGACTCGTCTTCGATGAATCAATGAACAGTCTCCACTCATCTGGATCGTGAACGATGTTGAGGGCTGCCATCACACCATCGATGTTGTTGCAGGCTACAAGATCACCTTCCATGAAGAAGAATGGGACAAGATCCTTTTGACGGTCACGGAACATGGAAACCCTAACATCACCTGCCAGGAGATTTCACTGATGTAGTCTGGAGCCCAACAGCTCTGCCTTACTCTTGGGTAGTTCCAAATCCTTGACAAGGTCATTCAGTTCACCTTGTGTTATGAGGTGTGGTTCAGAGGAGGAGGATGGGAGAAAATGTGGGTCCTGTGCCATTGATGGTTCAGGACCAGAAGTTTCATCCTCTTCCTCTTCTTCGTCTGACTCAAGTGAGAATGATTCTGGTGCATCAGGAACCGGCAGTCCTTCTCCGTGGGGTACTGGGCGTATAGCTGATGGAATGTTTGGATAATGCACAGTCCACTTTTTCTTCTTTGACACACCTTTCCCAACTGGAGGCACCGTGCAGAAGTAACAATTGCTGGTATGATCTGTTGGCTCTCTCCAAATCATTGGCACTGCAAAAGGCATAGATTTCCTTTTCCTGTTCAACCACTGGCAAAGATTTGTTGCACAACTGTTGCAGCATATGTGTGGGGCCCATCTCTTGTCCTGATCTCCAATTTTGCGCCAAAATAAAGGTGATAGGCTGTCTTAACCATAGTGGTTATACTGCGCTTTTGTGATGCAAAAGTCACTTCACCACAAACATAGCAGAAGTTATCTGCACTGTTCACACAAGTATGAGGCATCTCTGCTCACTTTGGCTAAATAGAAATGTGTCCCTTTGCAAAATCAAACACTGACAAATAAGAGAGCACGACACTGTAGGATTTCTAGAGCTGATATAGGGCAATTTGTTCAGCAGAGTGATGTAAGCTTCGTTATGATTGCATCATCCATGACGTCTAGGAATAACATGATGCAATTCATCTCATGTATGACGCAATACCAGCTTCAGATTGCATCATTCATTGTTTTGCCTAAAAAGCAAGTACTGTCCAAACCCAGTCATAGATTTATTCATAGACCCAGTCGAAGATGTATTTTAGTCATTCCTGGTTTAAATTGAGATCCCTTCCCTTTATAACTCACTCATCCTCCGCCATTCCCAAGTCAAGGGTCGTATATACTGACCCAATAGCATATCTTGAAAACTAGAGCCAATCAACAATTTTAAGCATCATTTTCGTTCTCAGTGACCCAGATTTAGTAAAGTTTGACTACATTTATTTCAGAAGCATTTTGGCTGTAGAGCAGTGTAATTAAATATTCATTGGCCCAGAGAGAAAGAGAGACTGGTTAGGGCACGACGTGGAAGACCCAAATTCAAAACCCTGCTCCGAGGCCTGTTTAATTAGTTACACAAGTGGACAGCTCCAACCAGAGAAATTTAGGGACACCTGCCCCACAATACCCCATAGCTTGGTGGTCATGGAAATCACCTGAACTTTGGATTCCCAAAGCCCAAGCCCTACTCCAAATCAGGCAGAGAAGGGATATGAAAATAGGTCTCCCACATCCCAGGTGAGTGTCTTAACCACAGGGCTATTGGTATGATAGAGTGAGCCATCACTCGGACTCTCTGGTTTTTCAGGAGAAAGGGCTGACCTGGCTGTGGTGCCCAAATCCAGGAATAGGTGTTGACAGTTGTGAATTCCAAGCAGAGATGGGCACCTCCTGCCTGCACGGATTTAGGTGTCTAGCTACCTTTGAGGGTCAGGGCTGAGGCCCCACCCCTTTCCTCAGCATTTCCTACTGGCTAGCTTAGGCCGCTCCCTGCTCAACGTGCTGCATTCTGTGACCCCTTCTTAGACACCTAAAACTTGCCCCATGCCTGGTATAGGGAGCCAGGTGTCTACTGCAGGGCTGAGGAGTCCACCGGATGGCAGAGAGCCTGATTGTCGAAGGTTTGAGCACCCACTGCATCTACTCACTTGTATCTGAGAGGCAGGTGCTCAGCACATCTGATATGGGGCTGTAATTTAGCTCTTTTATAGCTAGAGCTCTCAGGCGACTATTCCACACAATGTCACCATCGTGGGGGTCTACTCCGACGGGGAGGCCAGCCATTCGGGATCACTGCTATGTCTGAGAAGGGCAAGGTGCCCTGAGGGAAGTGACAATTGAAGAGTGTCCGTATGGAGAGGGGTAAAATGAAGGCTCATGCCTAGACACCGGCAGCACAGCCCAAGGGAATAACTAGGGGAGATATGTCAGATATGCTAAGATACATGGATGATCTGCAGAGAGTTCTGTATACGTTAACATGGGCATCTTGGAAATACAAAACATAATTCTAACAGAAGAGGAGCACAAAATAAACCAAATATGAACATTTCATAACTCTATTGAAACTAAAGGGCAGTAAATTTACATGCAAGCTCCCCTTGTTACTCCGGCTCTATCCTGCTCTACACTGAGGGCTGTACATAGCCGTGGGTCTGCAGAGGGAATGGACATTTACACAGAGACGCTGCTTTGCATATTTCCATCCAAGTGACAGTGCCCAACTGTTCAGAGCAGATATAAACGTGCCACCTTCACACTTTGTGCTTCTGAGCTCGGTGTTTGTCACTCTAGACATATCAAGATGAGCTCCCAGACTCAGCTACTCTGGCTCCTCGTGCTCTGCATTCAGGGTAACAACAACAACAGGGGAAATCAGTTTATAATAAAGTTATAATATTTTACTAGGCTGCAAATGCTCAGAATTTCCTTTTCAAGCAATCATTCCCAATGGCATTTACAATGTTATTGAAGGAGGGATACAAGATGCAGCTTTGTACTTAGTTAAAAATTACGAAGTTTGTGTCATTTTATATTTCTTTTTCTTTTAACTGTTTTTTCTCCCATCCAGATGCCAAGGGGCAGATTGTGCTGACTCAGACTCCAGAATCCCTGGCAGTGTCTCCTGGAGACAGAGTCACCATCAACTGCAAAGCCAGTTCCAGTGTTAGCAGCAGCTACCTGTCCTGGTACCAACAGAAATCAGGACAAGCTCCTAAGCTCCTTATTCACAGCGCTTCCACCCGTCCCTCTGGGATCCCAGACCGGTTCAGTGGCAGTGGGTCTGGCACAGACTTCACTTTTACAATCAGCCGGGTTGAAGCTGATGATGCTGGAGATTATTACTGCCAGAAGGGTGGCAGCTCCCCTCTCACACAGTGATACAGACCAGTACAAAAACCTCATGCTCTCTGCAGCATGCGATGCAGTTACTGTTTGTGGAAGATATTACTCTCTGCCTTACAAGTGTTCTGTCAAATGTGAATGAAGAGGGTGACTTATTACATCTCAGAACATACAGTAAAAAAGAGAACTCCAAAAGACCCAATGAGTTTGCCCAATGACACAGACATTCAAATGCACAGGGTCTAGTTTTCACTGCTTTATCCTCACTATTGAATCCCAGTGCATCAGACACACATCAATACAAATTGCTCCAAACAGCTGTTACACCTTCTTTCTTAATTGAGTGGCTCCTTTTTATATCAAACAGAATTAATTCTAACACAGAGAGCTAACTGCAAACCAGAATCCCCTTTCCATGGGAAATTTCAAAGTTTCCTGTGTAAGAAAAGTTCTAAAATGTATTCTGGAAAAATCAAAAATGACTTTTTGCTTCAATAAAATTAAAACATTTCATTTCAGCGTTACCAACTCAACTTTTACGGTGAAGTATAAAAGTCAAAATTATAAAAATCAAAACAAAACATTTCAACCTTATCAAAAGGAAATGGTTTGACCTTATTGAAACAAATTGTTTTGATCATGTTCTGTTGAAAATTTTGACAGAGATACACTTCTAGAGAATGTCACCATTTCATCCAATCAACAGTTGCTGACAAAACTGTCCCAACTGAAAAATGGGAACCAACCACTTCTCACATAAATACATTTCCAATATGGCCTCAGGGTTTCCTTTTATTTCCATAGAGCCTCAATGACATCCCATTGAGAAGCTCTCAGAAATCTGGGGATTTTTAATGGTCGTGATAAGATCAGGCACCTGTTTGTTTTAAGGTGACCAGACAGCAAGTGTGAAAAATCGGGACAGGGTGTGTGTGTGTGTGTGTGGGGGGGGGGTAATAGGAGTCTATATTAGAAAAGACCCAAAAATCGGGACTGTCCCTATAAAATCGGGATATCTGGTCACCCTAGTTTGTTTGTAGAGTATGGTAAGACTTTGTGGTCGAGATTCTCAAAGGCCTGCGTGGGAGCAAATCCCAACATGCACATGAACCCTGAGGCACAAGCAGGTAATAGGCACACACAGGATTTTCGGAGTGACTGGGTAGATGCAGAGTGTGTCCTCCAGTGGGCAGGGCATTGGAATAGCCACAAAGAGGGGTGCTCACCCCAAGTTCCCGAATGGCCTGGGGTGTGCACACGCTCTGACTGGGTCTGGCTAGCAGAGGGCAGCAGGAGCCAATCAAGAGGATGTTCAGTCAGCTTCTCTATGGCTTCTGACTGGCCATACCCACTCAAAAGAGGCAGCAACTGGGGAGGGGATGTGGAACAATGTCTGGTGGAGTCTGTGGGTTGTTGGCACATTTGGTGAAAGGAGAGGGAGGCTAGCATGGGAAGAGGGGGAGGTGTCAGTTAGGGGGCCCACAATCCAGTATCAAGTGTGCACCTGGGTGCTCTAGCCTTTGAGAGGGAGAACTATGTGGACATACAATATGGGCGTCTTTATCTGTTAGCATCCCCTTGCAGCAGGAGCTGCACCAACCTAGCTCAGTCCCCCGCTTATGCGGCCACACCTGACTCTGCATTGTCAAGTCCTTGTTAAGATCTGACTCTTCTGGGACAGGTCCTTGAGGATAACAGGGAGGTGGAAGTTCCATGGCTGTAGCAGGGACTAACCAGCCCTAGTTCTCCTGAGTTAAGGAGCTTCTTCTCTAAATGTAGCTGGCTGGGGTAGGTGGAGGAACTCAGCCCCATCCAGTCCACTGGGCTCCAGCTCAGGGCCCTTGCCTGAGCATCTCCACTGATGCATCATTATTGAAAATTACCCTCTCAGGAGACCATGGTGGTTTAGTGTACGGGAATCAGGAGAGGAATCTGGTGTATTAATAGCACAGGATCAGGTGCAGCTACTGCTGTGCGAGAGTAGACCCCAGAATGGTTCATTCCAACAAGTGGCTCAGTCCACACATATAATGCATGGGGCTTTGCCAGAGAACAGCAATGGAGGGAGGGCTGGAGGCTCCCCTGCTCTGCTCACACAACACCCCCGTAGCTCTCAGGCTTGGGCACCTACCATGTCATGGAGGTAGTGGGTGTAGGGCACAGACACAGCAGGCAGCGTAAGAGCCTGGCACACTGATGCCACTTGTCAACCTCTCTGTGCTGCGCATGCATCCCAATCTGAGCATGCTCAGACCTTGGGTGAGCTCTTCCCAGACCTCATGTCAACCTGCCTGTGTGTGCCCATGAAGCCTTGAGAACAGCCATCGTTGTAGGGGTGAAAAAAGCTACCGGCAGCATTGCACAGAAGCACGCAGCTTCTGGCACCGCTGCTTTCTTGAAATCCTGGCTGTATAAGTAAAATAAAAAATTATTAGTTAATGTATTATGCGAAAGAGGATCTACTGATTGGATTGAAACCTCACACAGTAAATGACCAAATCACATTAGCTCTTCTTACTTGTATTTAAATCTGCAGCTCGCTTGGTTACTCATCATTAATCAAACAGCCGTTGTTGCCACCTGTGTCCTGTAAAACTAACTCTGGCTGCTTTACCATCCGAATCATGGAAATATATTCTAATCATTACATCCCATAATAGTGATGCTGCATTGAAACCATCAGGTCAGATATTTCAAAACTCCTTTCTGGTCATTTACATAATTGGGCTCTTTTTGCATATTCACACACAGCTGATGTTTCCTCACTGAGCTGCTGAACACATAAATGGTTCCATTTCCACTACATGCCTGACTGAGGAGCATTTCCAACCACACAGAAGCAAGATGATCTCAAAGACTCCCCTTCTCTGGCTGCTGCTTTTCTGGATTCAGGGTAAAAAACAAGGCTGCCCAGAGGATTCAGGGGGCCTGGGGCAAAGCAATTTTGGGGGGCCCTTCCATAAAAAAAAGTTGCAATACTATAGAATACTATTTTCTCGTGGGGGCCCCTGCGGGGCCTGGGGCAAATTGCCCCACTTGTCCCCCGCCCTCCCTCCAGGCAGCCCTGGTAAGAAACAGACAAGTGTTAAAAGGGTTAATAAGGAATGAGACAAACCATCAAAAATGGCAGTGGGTTTTTTATTGAAATACTAATTCCTGGTATATTTTCTAGTTCACTTCTACCGTTCACTTTACAAATGTTTCAATGTAAAGTTTTGAATAATGTTAACATCATTGTCCCATAGCCCCAACCCTGCCAATTTTCATTCTCTCTCTCCAGGTTCCATTGGACAGACTGTGATGACTCAGACACCAGAACCTCTCTCAGTGTCTGTGGGAGAGACCTTCACTATCAAATGCAAAGCCAGCGCAAGCATTAACAGCTACATTGCTTGGTACCAACAGAAACCTGGACAGGCTCCCAAGCTTCTTATCTATTACACCAACACCCGTCCCACGGGCATCGCAGACCGGTTCAGTGGCAGTGGGTCGGGCACTGACTACACATTCACAATCAGCAGGGTTGAATCTGATGATGCTGGAGATTATTACTGTCCGCAGGGTGCTCGCTTCCCTCTCACAGTGATACACACAAATACAAAAACCTCCCTGCTCTATGAACTGTGCAGCGTAGTAGACACTAGTACACACAACTAGCACCACAGTCAAGTTTTCAAATGTTCTGCCAAAAGACAACTAGAAGGAAAACGTCTCCCATCCACTTACATAATCTCAAACTCTAGTACTGTATTGCCATCCTGAGAGTTTAGCTGTGCAAGGAAGTTTGTTAGTCACTGGGGAATCCCACCAGGGTGATTCCAATTTATTCCTTATTTTTTTAAGTCAAACCTTAACTGTGAATGTTCTGGGTTTATAATGCTTGTTGTTTGAATAATGACAACACCCCCGTATTGTATTTTATCCTAAATTACTAATACGTACTCTCAGCATTAACTCCACTTGATTATTATTATTCTTTATTGTTTGCATTACCATAGCACTTAGGAGCCCCTGTCATGAACCAGGACTGCATCGTGCTAGCTGCTGGCCAACCACAGAACAAACAGATGTTCCCTGCCCCAATGAGCCGACAATCTGAAATTCGTCAGGAAATTAATATATTAATCCAGAAGAAACTGCTGAAAATTAAGGTTGTTCTCAGATAAAACCCCAAAACACATGAAATAATAAATGTAATATGTGTTCATGCAACACGGATCACACACAATTAAATTGTTATTACGTTGTGTTCATTAAGGCATTGATACAAATCCCCAGGCAAAAATTATGCAGATCAGATGTGAGTCATCACAGAAGGCACCAGTATTTTCTGGGAACAAGACAAAACATCCTCTCCTGACCTGGTTTATAGAGGACAGCTCCTTGCTCTATACCTTTCCCAAGCATTACGCCATAGGGGCATATACATGCATTGTTGATAGAGAATCCACTGGTGTCTGGTACTCTAGAGTGCGGACCCCTTCTTGGTCTGTTCGGGAGGGGGCCAAGCGCTGCGCGTTTTCACCAGCCACCAGAAACTTTGCAGCTAACAGGTATAGTGTATTGGCTCGTTACACCTGCCCTGCCTGGGATGACCACATCCCATGTTCTGCCTCATTCCCAAGACATCAAGAGTGGTTGAGTCTATGACATCTATGGGGAGCCTGCTGCACTGGCCCTAACAACCCAGAAAAATGTACAAAGAAAGCCTGGTGATTATGGTGCAAGGGAATTTTTTCTTTTTTGCGCCATGACCCCACAACCTTGAGGACTCCTGAAGTTTGAATCCAAACTAGGCTTTCAACCTTCTTTCCCTCCTCCCTCCCCCCCCCCAAAAAAAAAAAAAAAAAAGGAAAAAAAACCTAAAAAACCTCATAATGGGGATCTAGGACACAACTTCTGCCTATGCTGTGCAAAGCTATTTCTCCTCTGTGAGATAACCATCTCTTTGTATATTCCCAGACAGAAACAACATTATGATGGAGTTAAGGTTGTGAGTACATACTGGTAATTTAAAGGTAAAATAAGAGATCAGG